GTCGAATCGCGGAACAGTGCAGCGAAATGAGCTGCAAAAGCCATGGCTGAATCCTGGCAGAAATTCGGTGAGTTGTTGGAGTCGAATTTCCAGACGGCAAACATTATTCTGGCAGACCCTCCGCCGGCTTCAAGGTGGGTGTACAGATGGGCAGTCCAGGAGTCTTCAAGGATTAGTGCGGACACCATTTTGCTGAGAATAAGGTCTTTCTTCATTGATGGACAGAGTACTTTGCAGAACTCGTCAAACGCGAGCAACCACAGGATGCCTCTTTTGTGGAGTAGCAGGAAAGAGATTTTAGTGTTTTTGTAGGTGGAATCACACAAGCTCTGAAAAGCCTGAAGAGTGGAAAGGCTGGTCGAATTGATGGATTTTGTTCTGAAATGGTCAAAGCGCTAAAGTAACAAGTCATGTGCTGGCTTACACGTGTCGGTCAAACTGCACAAGCTACGCGGAAGATAGCAACGGATTGCAAAATGGGGGTTGATGTACCCCTATTCAAGAAGGGAGAAAGCAGGAAGTGCTCAAATTATCATGGAATTACGTTATTGAACCTCCCAGTTTGAGTCTACACAAAGGTACTGGAAAAGAGTGCGCGGAATAACTGACTCCCAGATGCAAGAAGAGCAGTGTAGCTCTCTGCCCGGTCGAAGGCCCTCAGATCATATTTTTGCCCTGCGCCTGATTGTTGAGAAATCGTATGAATTCGCCGATACGGGTACATGTGCTTTGTTGACCTAGAGACAACGTATAATATGATCTTGCGCAACAGTCTGCGGTCATGCCTGCGCATATAAGCGATCGATGTCCAGTTGCTATGGGCGATTCAATAACTGTATGCTAATGGCAGGTGCTGCATCGGAGGAAATGGCATTAAGTCGAAGCCTTTCAGCATTGGCACTGATCTGCGCCAAGGCTGCGTTCTGTCCCCTCTCCAGTTTGTGTTATCGACGGCCAGAATAGTCAGACTCTCCAAGGCGATGAGTGTGCCGGTGTAGGAGATGTTGAACCGAGAATGTTGCTGCTTGCAAACGACCTTGTTTTATTAGCATCTTCTGAAACTGATCTTCAGCGCTCTATAGAAAGGTTCGCAGCCGAGTGCGAAGTGGCCGGTATGCATGTGAACCCATCTCTAAAGAAAAGCCTAGTCATTCCTCGTTCTCCTGCTGGTCGTTCTCTTCAGAATAACGTAGAGGCAGTGGAACAAGTGAAGAAATTGAGGTACCTCGGAATCGTATTTACTGGTGATGGAAAATTTGAGGAAGAGATCGATCGGCGAATATGAGTAGCCAGTGGCTTTCTGCGTGAACTGGCCTGATCAGTTGTGACTAAAGCAGAGCTCAGTCTGGAAACTAAGCTCTCGGTGTTGAAATCGATCATTATTCCCATGCTTACCAACGATCATGAGTTGTGGAACATGATTGAAAACTTCGAACCCGGGTACAAGCTGCTGGAATGTGCCTTCTGAGCTGAGTCGCTGGCTTTACGCGTCTGGACTTGATCCGGAATACAGACATCCTTGGTGTACAGCCGCTGCTACTTCAGATTGAGAAGTCACAGCTGCGATAGTTCGGGCATGTGTTGCGAACGCCACCAGAAATAATAGCGTGGCAAATCTTTCTTACCCAGCCGACCGGCAGAAGGCCCATGAAACGGCCTAGATTTAAAGGTGCAAATATATGGAATGAGTCTGCCAAAAGCTCCGATTGTTTTCTGCCTGAGCTCAGACTCTG